CCCCCCCGTCGTCGAGCTCGACCTCAAACGTCGTGCCCAGCGCCTCCTTGCCCTGGCGTATCATGTCCCGCAGCCGGGCGTTGAAGTCGTTGATCCGCATGTCCGTCTCCATCTCCTTCTTCATGCGCTGGGCGGCCAGGTTCCTGCCCTTGGCGTCCAGTCGCGGGCTGCTGTCCTGCATCTCGTGCAGGGACTCCCGCTTCTTCATCGTCCCTATCTTGATCGGCGAGACCGAGACCGAGGCCGAGACCGACGAGTTCGACATGGCGCTCTGGCTGCGTCGGTGCCCGCGTGCGGGGGCAGAGGCAGGGACAGGAGCAGGCGCGCGAGCGTACGGGCTCGGGCTCGGGATTCGCGAGGCCTGATGATGCTCTGGAAAACGACTACTACCTGGTCCGAGGCTGGGTGATTGCGCTCGCGAGGCGACGACGGGGATCCTGCTGCCGGGATGCGTCGTCCTCGGGCCCGGCGACGCGGCCGGGGATCGGGCGGACGCGAAGCTCGCGGGCTCGCGGGTCGATATCGGACCGGGACTGGCCAGGCTCGGTCGGCTCGGCAGGCGTCGGCTCGCGCTGGGCGCGCCGAGACGGCTTACGGGCTTGCTGATGCGACGGACGAGCGACGGCGGCGGCCCTGCTGCTCCCGCCGTTCGGTGTGCGGGTCGTCGCGACGACGCCCGCGACGCGAGAGGAGGCGGCGGCGGCTGTCGGCTCAGGTTAGCCGGCTCGTCAATCATGACCCAGTTCTTCCGCAGCTCGTCGGCGGGCGTGCCGTAGGAGATCTGCCTCCTCTTCGGCGCCGGCGGCGGCGTCGACTCGGGCGTCTCGCGCTCGCGCTCGCGCTCGTACGAGTACGGGGCGTAGTCGGCCGACGGCTGGGGCGGGCCGTAGTCCAGCGGGATGGGGTCCAGCATCGATCGCAGCCGCGCGTCCTCGGAGATGGCGTATGCTCGTCCCCCGCCGGCGGAGAAGCCGCGGAAGGCGCCGTTCTTGCAGAACTCCCACACCTTCCCCACGACGCCGCCGATGGTGCTCATCGCGAAGGAGCTCCAGCCGCCCGATGTGTGATTCCCCTCGTCGATGATCATGGGCCTCGAGTCGACGTCGTCGTCGTGGCATCGCTTCGATCCGAGGGCACGCCTGTAGTCGACATCAGAATAGACACTCTCCTCCATCTGACCCATCTCTTTCTGCGCGGCCCCATCCGGCGTCTCCATCTGGCCGGCCAGCACATATCGGCCTTCTCTCGCGTTCGTGGTCATGTCGAAGTAGGAGCGGTCATCCATGATGGTGTCTCGACTGGTATTTCCATCACCCGGCGTGGCCCAGTCGCCCCCTCGCTTCCTCTTCGCCTGGTACATGGGCGTAGGCGTCTCGGACTGCAGGCTCGCGGTAGATCTCCCGAGGTACGTCGAGCTCGACAAGGACGGGGAGGTCGGCGGGCGAAAGATGCCGGGATGCACGCCTGCGAAGGAAGCGCCCCTACCGCCGCCGCCGCTGGGTAGGTCGAAATGGTAGATTCCGGACATGAGGATCTGGGAATTATAGGACATGTCTAGCGTGGTAGTTCAATGGGGGGGAGAGTGGTAAGTAGATGAGGCGTGTGTTGAGTGGGAGGTGCGTATGAATGCGCAGCGCCAGGCTGACGCAAAGGCAAACGGAATAGCACGAGTTAGTCGCAGCGTCGGCGTGTAAGTGCAAGTGCAAGTACAGAGGGTTCGTCTCGCAACGGCCGACGCTCGTGAATATCAGGTGAATACGTCGTATGGCTCGTGAATATGTGGGGAGAAGACGCTGGGAATCTTAGGATATTCGCTCTCGGACCTCGTCGATAAAACTGTCATATAGGTTGGTGTGTAGGTACTAAGTAGGTATTGTTCGCTATTGTCGGACTCGTCGTCGTGGTCGTCGCTTTTCCTGCCAGCAGCTTACTACGTAGTGTTGGGGGTTGTTTCGGGTTTAGCGAGTGAGTGTTTGCTAACGCGGAGGGGAATGGCGGCGGATGCTGTTGGGGGTGTGTGTGCGCGTGGTCTGATGATTGATACTTAGATAACCAGGTTTTTTGAGTTTCGAGCATCGATCGATATAGTTGATGCGATGGATGGGTAATACCCGGGATCGATAAACCCACTGAAACGCTCTCGATCCAGACGGTTTTTCTTTACTATGCAGCTCAGTTGGATTTCAAAACAGTATGTCGATTGGATTTAGAAAAAAAAAGGTATTCAGTTGTCCAGCTCCGGCAGAGAAAGGAAGAGAGACCTGATGCTTTCTGCTCAAACACACACACGACGACTAATGCGAGTAGCCGAAGTGACTGACGTATGGCGATAAGTTTCAAAAAAGTGTATTGTATTGCATCGCACGACTAGGCAACGTTTCGGTTCGTTGCACCGGTTTAAGCCACAGCTGAGAGGCGCTGGGATACCACAAAGTGACACCTTTCATCGGGTGGGAAGAGTTGGAGGAGAGCTTTTGCGCGTGCGACGTGATGGAAGGGGAACAATTGTTGTGGTTGCGTTGCTGGGTCAGCACGGCCCCCGTAGCTACGCACTTACATCTCAGCATCAACAGCCTGGAAAACGGAGCTGGGGTCGCTACTAAATGAGCCTAATTGAGAGATACATCATGATATGTACACTTACTTGGTATTGAAGGTACCCATCTAGTAGAGGTACCTAAAGTAGCTCGAGATCCGCTGCCACGAAGCACATGTCTGTGTACTTGATGTACCTACCAGGTACTTTCCGTAGTGGAACAGTAATACGGTACCGATGTATATCTCTCTGGCGAACAGCGAGCTCCAAGCCACGATCTCTCTTCTTCTCAATTAACGTCAGATATACATAGCTAGTAGGTACATATACAGTAGATCGGTTCACACGTACACGAGCAATTGCAATTCCAAGCCTCTAATGTGCCAGCTCTATTCGTTTTCCTCTATGGCGGTCTAGGTACGACGACGACGACAACGACGACGATGATGATGCGAACAATGCTCTGCCAAATGTGATGCAAGTCCCTGCCGTAGAACTCGACCAAAAAAAATAAAACACACACCTGACTCGGGTGGCCCAAAACCTACATAGGTAGGTATCCCGTAATCATGCTCCCGATATAGTGTAGCGCAGCCTCTTTCACCCCTCCTTCTTGTGATAATAAGCCTCCTGCTTCTCGAGCTTCTCCGCCCTGACGCCGCCGTCAACGCCCTCCTCGCCGTGCACGTGGGCCTCGGCGCCCCAGAACGCGTCGCGTTCCGCCAGCACCTCGGCCGCCCACGCCTTGACCTCGGGGGTCCTGATGAGCGTGGCCACGTACGCGAACTCGCCGAGGTCGAGCGCCCGGCCGGCGCGCCTCTCGTACTCGACCATCTGCGTCAGCAGCTCCATCTTGTCGAGGTCGTGCACGAACCGGCTCTCGTCCGTCGCCGAGTCCTCGTACTCGCGCCACACCGCGCGGATCTCGGCGCCCGCGAGCCCGCCGTGGACGCGCCCGAGCAGCTTGTCGGCTATGTAGTCCATCGTCTCGGCCTCGCGGCGGCTCTTCTCCGGCTTCGGCACCCCGTCGACGGGCGTGATGTCGCCGACGAGCGACTCCGCCATGTCGTGGATCAGGCACATCTTCATGCACTTGAACAGGTCGAGCCTGGGCGCGAGGCTGGGTGGGCAGAGCATCGTCATGAGCGACATTCGGTACATGTGGTCGGATATCGATTCACCCCTGCGAGTTTCGCTCTGTATCAGCCACCTAGCTCCCGTAGCGTCCGGGGCCCGCACCCCGAGTGGGAAATCAATCTGGGCCGTGGTACCTCTCGATGTTGAAGCGCCGCCACCCCTCGCGCTTGTTCGTCTTTAACCTCTCGAGGATGTGGAAGTACGGGACGGGCGAGTCGGTGCCCTCGGCCGGTGGTGCGGGGGACAAGGTTGCCAACACCTTCTCCACCGACCATGGTTCTGAGACGGCTGGTGTCTCCACGATGCCCGGATCTGGAAACTCTCACAAGGTCAACATCTGGGCCGTATGGACGGGGGAGGGCATAGGGTAACTGACCGGTGAAGGGCTTTTCGTCATTGTTGCCAGCTCCTGAAGACATTTTTTCCGTATGCGGCTTGTTTGTAGTTCCTATGGCAATTCGTGGAGGGGGCTGTAGGTAGCTTTCCCGTTTTCAATGGACAGGAATGTAAGGCCTGGAGAGAGTGGGAACAGAAAAAGACAAGAGGTTGTGCAAATTGATTTTGAGAAGCGAGGATGGAGGGAAGAGATTGGACTCCAGAGACCAAGCTGTATTATGGATAGATGCAAGTGCCCATGCGCATTTGTAGCAGTTTACTTCTGCCCGTTGCTGCCTGTCTAAAGAAAATGTGATATCAGTCTTGGAGCTGCGCCCTTTTGTTTGTTCGTCCAATTCACGGCGGTGCGCAGGAAGTTGAGGTGAAGTCCGCGGCAGTTTCCGGTCCTCTGGTGTAAGGTAAGGTACCTACCTCAAGAACCCCCCCCCCCACTGAGGGCCAGATAGTGGTAGTGTGGTACCGGAGTGATATGGGTTTACAAAGTACAAAATACCCATCCTGCTATTGGATGGCGCGGGCCATGGCCCCGGTGCCGGTGCCGGACTCATGTTCCGGTGACTGTAGGTAGGTAAGCATAGATGCCTAACTAAGGCTTGCCATTCTAGAATCTATGTACGGTGATGTCAATGATAGCAACAGGAACCTATCTGGCGGTCAGTCAACTAGCCGGAGCGAATAATCCTGCCCATGCTTAACAAGTATATGGGAGATCTTTGCTGTTGTCGAGCAGGGCATAGGTATGATATTTGAGGCATGAAAGGGTTAGCAGGAAAGTACCAGTAAAACCTATCAATTATAATCATCATGTGATGCTTTAAAGGTATGGAGTAGTAAGCCGCTTTCTTCGGGAGGTGTAGTCCATCCATCGGTAACTGCGACACGTGTGTTTGGGTTATAGGATTATATCTGCAATCAGTTATCAATCAACACATCCGAATTGGTGTAGTGGCTAACATTTCACGCTCTCACTTGTACACAAGTAGATCCGTGGAGCCCGGGGTTCGATTCCCCGATTCGGAGATTCTTTTGCCCTTCTTTTTCTTGGTCATATTTTTTTTTCCCTCCTTTTTTCCCTTATTTTCGATGTCAATATCTATATCGCTATTGGATAAACCAGGTCAAAATAAAATATTTTCATCCCGCAAATTCCCAAAATTTGCAGTGCAGGACACACCGTCTGACTTCCAAAAAATCATTTTAAGTAGGTGCTTACGAACCTAGCATGCTATGCCTCCCTATTGGCTACTAACCACGACATAACTTCCCTATCTCAGTAATTCCAGAATAAGCCTCTTGTTCTTCTCGATGGCTTCCATGATCTCGCTCACGCGGATATACTCGTCCTTGCCGTGCGCGACGCGTATCGAGCCAGGGCCGTAGAGCACCTTTCTGTGGTCCCCCCGCAGCCGCGGTATGTCCGTCCCGTAGGCCATGGGCTCGGCCTCGAACCCCTCGAACTCCCACTCCAGCAGCATCTCGGGGTACTGGAACTTGAAGTCGACGTCCACGTCCGCGTGCCTGTCCACCACGTCCTTCACGGTGCGCTTGATCCCCTCCACGTCCTTGGCCACGCGGATGCTGCAGAGCGCCGTGGCCTCCGCCGCGAGGATGTTGTAGCCCGCGCCGCCCGAGATCTTGCCGATGTTCAGCGTCGACGGGCCCAGGAGGTCCGAGACTGGCCAGTCTACCGCTCGCAGGTCGTTGATTGCGTCGAAGAGAAGGATTGTTGCGCTCTTGCCTAGCTGGGGATATCCGGAATGGCTTTGCCCCGGTTGTGACAGATTAGCGCAGGTCAACACCACCAACACCACCAACACCACCACCACTACCACCTCCTCTCCTACACAAGTGCGATACCGCGCGGTACAGCGAGGAAGAGGTGCAGAATTCCACGACGTGCTTGCTTGCTTGCTTACCAGGCCTTCCCGTGAGCAACGACTTCAAACACGAGATTCCCCTTATGTCCCTTCGCCACCTTCCCCTCCGTCGGCTCAGCGAACAGCCCAGCCTCCCAGGTAAGCCCCATCTCGTTCGCGGCGATCATGCCCGGGCCCCCCTTCTCCTCGCCCACGACCCACAGGAAGCTCACGTCGCCGTCCCTCAACGCCCCCTCCGCGCGCAGCTCCTCGACCGCGAAGATCTGCGCCACCATGGGCCCCAAATCGTCGCACGCCCCGCGCCCGCGCACCACGTCGCCGTCCCCGTCCCCGTCCCCGTCGTCGTCGATGCTGAAGGGTATGTGCGGCGGCACCGTGTCCATGTGCGCCGTCACGAGGAGCCGCGCCCGCCGCTCCGTCCCGAGGTACGCGTAGACGTTGTGCCGCGTTGACCCGGGGGCGATGGGGATCCGTTCCGCCGCGAACCCGCGGCCCCGTATGTACCTCTCCAGGTACTCTCCGATCTCGAGCTCCTTCTCGCTCGTGCTCTCGATGCTCATGAGGGCCTTCAGGAGCTCGACCACCTCTTTTGAATCCGTCTTTGTCGCCATCGTGTCGCGCTTAGACAGATAGCAGGCTGGCTGGTTGATCTGGGCTGGGCTGGGATAATATAGAATGGGAAGTATTGTCGCCGTTCGACGTAGTCTGCGTTAGTTTGTAGCGAAATCGTCTCCCAGGTAGACTGGTGCGAAACGCTACATATTTCGCTTGGTTCGGCTTGGGCGGGGTTGGGTTAGGCCCATCGTCGCTGTCTTAGGGCGGCCCGACAGCCTTTTTGTCGCTATCGGTCGTCATGGCCCCCCGACTTCACCTTATTTATGTGCATGTTATGTAAATGGAAAATATTTCTAAACACGCCGCTATCAATATAGGCAATTGAGTAAAAATTAGTTCTAGTACACCATGTTAACTTATGACTCATTGTTTAGGTATTCTCACATTGCATGCAAAATGTTGAAGAGTTGGGGTATGGAAGCCTCTAGGACTGGAGGTTTTGGAATCGGAAAAAGGAGTCCGTTTATACGTACCTACCACCAGTATGTAACCTTTATCCTACGACATACGGACAAGGGCGTTCATCCTGTAAGAACACATCCTTTTACAATTGCTTTACTTATTAAGTATCCAAAGAACCAGAGGGCTAGAAAAAAGTCAATGATACGGCATATTGTTCCGAGGAATGCAAAAAATGCGAATTGCTTTAGCAGTCAGTCCATAACTTGGCTATTCAGACCATGGTGTTAGGAGAAAATATCTCAGAGGGAAGAAGGGATCGTACTAAAACTGCAGAGGGGTGTCTACGAGGTAGCAACTGGGTCGCGGATAATTGTCCCAGGTATAGGGCGCCGGCCTCACTTTTATTGATTTGTGAGTCCCTAGGTACTCTCACAGACGGGAGGCCTAGGAGTGCAAATAAGTACAACTTTAGCTCATCCTTTCAACTACAACTGCTTTATGGCCAAATTCCCTGACAAATGCGACTTTCGGCTGTTTCGACTGTCCCGGAGAGCTAAGTGAAGTATTATTTAATTGAAATTAATGACGCTACACTGGTTTTTTTAAGAGCTGGGCCACTGAGACAAACAAGCTTCACTGTGAATCGCTCGGTGGCCGGCTGGGTGATGGTACAAGTAGTGATGGCCAGAAAGACATCGTTCTCTCAACGCATGTATCCGCTGTAGCAAAATGGATTGCCGACGGTATATGATAGATGTACCCACTTAGAGCAGGGCAGCGATCAGGGCACCGAGGGAGACGAGGCCGAACGAGGCCGGGACGACGCCGGCAGCAGCGCCAGGTGTCTCGGATGGGCTGCTGCTGCCGCCAGCACCGGAGCTCGAGGACGGCTTGGATCCGTCAGCGGGGGTAGAGCCACTAGTATTGGATGCCTCTTCGCTCGTGGTGGAAGTGGAAGTGAGGACCACGGTGGTGGAGGAGCCGACGCTGATGACGAATGAGGAGGCTCCCTGCACGATGGTCGTGGTGCCGAGAGGAAGGCCAGCCGGGATGGTGGCGACAGCGGGTTGCGAGGTCACCACATCGGGCTGCGAGGTTACCACATCAGGTTGCGAGGTTACGGCGGGGCCGCCATCGCTTGCGAGACCGGTGATGATGCCGTCCGAGTTGGTCTGCGTCAACAGCGATGTGAGTGGGTTGGAGTAGTAGTAGGTGTAGGTGGTGACGGCGGTGACGGCTTCGCCGGCACTGTTGGTAAAGCCGATGGTCAGGACCTGTTGAAACGGCGTGTTAGTCAAGATGGATGGCAAAGCAAAGTTTTGACATTGTCCCGGGAATCGCGTGGGACCTACAGTGGTGTGTTCGCCGTTGTCCTGTGCCAGTGCAACACCAGCCAGCAAGGGGGCGACGAGGAAAGCGAAAGAACGCATCTTGATGATACTGAGTGTATTAAGTATTATAGCTGCACGGAAAACAACTTGAAGATACAAAGATCAGCTGGAACGACAGACGTGGTGGGTAAAAGCGAATGTGGGTGTTTTGAAGAAGATGGCGAGCACACGGGACGACATAAACTTGTACAAGTCAGGAATAAGATGGGGACATAAACTTGTATAAGTACTGAACAGATGGGCGCGTTGACGCGGTGACCATTCCTCGGGATTGGTTCAGCTCACAATTCCGACCCACTTCTTAATACGAGGTGATGCATGCCCAAGGGGCAGCATTAAGATGATCATTCTTTAGCGCCGCCCTAGGGCTTGTACATGCAGGGAATTCTGGGCGGGAAGTTGGCTGCATCTACTTACCAAACAAGGACTCTACTGTGTACATGTAGGGTGGCAAAGCAGCTTCAAGACCTGATCAACAAGCAAATCTTCTACTTGGGTAGTTATATTTGTTCTAAAGGACGGTGGGTGTGCTTCTATTAGGGCCGAGTACCTAACAACACTTATTTTTGCTTTTCGAACACTTAGTATAGCACCAAAGATAGAAAAGCAAAGTGCTAGAAGAAGACAGATGAATTAAAATCGGTAATTTAAATCTGCCATGCAAAGATATATAGGAAACATGTATCTGGAGACAGAATGGATCTAAACTCTGTAGTGTATGGAGAGAGTCATATATACTAGGTCGGCATGTTGCACTATTTTTCTTTTTCTTTTTTACGGAACTTGTCTTACCTCCATTTTTTTTTACTCGTCTTAGAAGGCCTCGTCAGTCTCGACCAGGCTCGACATCAAACTCCACATCAGTCCGAATGATATACTTCGCGCCCTTCCTCACACCAGTCCCCTCATGCAACAACGCACCCTTGGCATCGCCATGAGGGAACAACGCCACCGATCCCATGGTGGGCCGGACAGGGTGCGCATTCATGACGCCCTCCCTGGTACTCGGGGTGAAGAACGTAGTCTCGCCCCCCTCGAACTCGTCGTTTAGATACACCAGGAACGTGAACAGACTCGATTGCCTGGCTTCCTCGGGGGAGGCATCGTAAACGTAGGCCCCCGTCTTGGGATCGACGCCGGACGGTGGCCAGCCGCCGTCGAAGTGGCACCGGTACTCGGCGCCGGGGACGTAACGGTAGACTCTGAAGCGGCGGTTGATGCCGCGTGCCCTGCGTCCGCCGAGGGACGGCGGGATGTGGGGGGAGACCCGCTTCCAGAGGGCGTCGTGGAAGGCCTGGTCCACGACCCAGTAGACGTTGTGCGCGAGGATGCTGGAGGCAGATCCGTCGTCGCGGAGTGGACAATCGGGGAGGAAGCCGACGGTTTCCATGGCCGCGACAATGGACATGCATTCTCGGCGGCTCAGCACGTCTTTCATGAGCGATAGCCCGGGCACGGTCGGGTGTTTGTGGAGTGTTGTCTCTGGCCCGTCCGCGGCTAGTGGGACGGCATTGTCGTTACTAAGATGTAGGACCGCAGGGTGCGCGTTAGGTGGCCTGCGTTCGGGGCCGGCTGTTGTCTCGAGGATTTGGAATCTGTCTTTAATATCTTCCGGACAGCTCGCGAAAATGGTCTTGTCTAGTACACCTTGCCGAATAGTAGGTCGCGGGGTTTTATCCCCATTATCCCAGATGGGCTGTAGAGAGAGCGGTCCGGTGAGATCCGCTGGCACCTT